TCTTCTAATGTTCATATCACTCCTGTATCTCTTTGCACACTTTGTGGTTTGTTTTCTGTTTCGTTTTAACTTTATTCTATGAGGATTTTTTTGCATTCAATTGAAATTGAACTTCTCATATGTAAAAATTCAAAAAATTTAACATTATTTGTTGCTTTTATGGTAGTTGCTGTTTTCCCAATGGATTCATTTGGATGATATATTTTTAGATTATGTAAAAGATTGACGAGTGATTAAAATTATGTGGGATGCCCAAATTGTTGCATGCAAATCACACTGGAGGAGATAATGACTGTATAATGGTTATGATTACCTGAGCAAAGAGTGTGGAGGGTAGTTTAGGAATTAAGAAACAATCTACAACTTTCCATATCCAAGTCAACATTTGAAATTTTTTTACTAATTTAGAAAAATTAAGTTTGACTCCATTTTTTTTGACATTTGACCATTTTTACGGAATTATCCCAAATAAAGAAAGTGCAGAGAATTGTGGAACTGAAGTCTCCCATCGTCTCATTTGCTTGTCAATCTTTCTTCTTGGGCTTATTTTGGGCCGCTCGTAACCTTGTTAGTATTCTTCTTGATTTTGGGCCTTGGTTTTTATTTTGTATAGGTATTTTTTTCTTCATTATACAATTTTTTTTATTTTTTTATTATTTTTATGGAAATGGAGTATAGAGGTTAGTATATTCCGATCCTTTCTACTTTGTGTCTGGAGTATAGAGGTTAGTATTTTTTTTGTGGTGCACAAAAAATGTTTGAATTGGTAAATTGAATCGACCAGACCGTTCGATTTGGTTTTATTTTTTCACATTTCGGTTCAGTTTCAATATATATATAAAAGCACTAAGATCAATTTAATTCAAAAATACTTTAAAATGGTATCTTCAATCCGTGTGCACCCCTACTTGTGCCTACTATATAAAAAAATGTGCAACAAGCCCTCCAAACTTTTTAGTATATGCATATAAATCTCTATAATTTAAAATTTTGTAGCAAATTGTTCTCAATTTTGACCATTTTTTTTGTACTTATGATAAAAATTCCAAAATTCACCTAACAAATTTTGTCCATAGAAGTGTTTTTTAATTTATTTTTATTATTTTGCTTTAAGGACATTTTAAATATTTCAATCTTCAAATTGAGAAAGTATTCTTATTTGCTCAATTTAAAAAATGTAGATTTTTTTGTATATACAACAAGGGGCTTTTGCACATTCTATATAAGATGTGTTGATATTGATTCAAGTTGCAAATTTTCTGCTTCTTAATGAAGGATGAAACGGAGCCCATTGAGATACACATTGAGTACTGTTATATTGACATTCAAGTTGCATATAAAATTACGAAAATATTATTTTTTCTTCCAATAAGATAATGTGCACATAACACTCCTATACTATGAAATTAGTAATATATATATCCCCTTAGACATTTTTGGAAGGGTAAAAGGGCAAAACAGGTATTACAATACTAATTTATATCAGATTTCTAATTAAGGGATATTTTTGCATAATGTGAAAAGATTAAAGGTGTTTTTTACACACTTTTTAAAATATGAGTAAAAATAAATCCCCGAGTATATTTAAGAGGTATTTTTGCACTTATCCCAACATACTAATATAAAATAACAAGTTATCATCGGGGGAGGGTGGTACCTTAGTATATTATGTAAATTATCAGTCGGAGTCCAACTTGATCCAAATACATGTCCCAAATAAAAAGTTGATGGTTCAAGTCAAATAAGGTAAGTGGATAATATTTTTTGGCAACTTAAAAAAATAAAAATAAAAACAAATAATAGTTTATTTGGAGTACACCTTTTTGCTAATAATAATAATAATAAAATAGCTAGATCGAGCCTAAGTCTAATTTACTTGTAAGTTTAATTTGCAATTTTTTTTAGAAAAAAAAAGAGGCCATATTCGCACCTCACTTTTCTACAATTATATTACACTTTTAAAGAAAATGACACTTCTATCCTTAATTTTATAAATAAATAATTATTTCTTTTCAAATACCACAAATACCCTTTCAGTTATGAAAAGAAATATGTGTCTCTCTCTCCCCAATTAACCTTTTGGGTCACTTCCAGTCTCTCTCTTAATTCTTTTTATTAAATATCTCCTTTCTCTCTCTCTTTCCTTATGCTTCGTTCGGTAGGAAGAAAAAAAATTGAATGGAAGGGAGAGAAAAAAAGATGACTGAGACATCCGTAGGGAATATATTAAGTGTTTCCTTTTTTGTTTTTTGTTCGGTTGAATGGAAGATAATGGAAAAAAAAAATTTAACAATTTAATTTGATTGGTAGGATAAAAGGAAAGATATATTTTAAGTTATTTTTACCATTAAACACATCTCTTACTTTATTTATGGGATTTATTAAATATTTATAAAAGGTGATGTAGTAATTTAAAACTTGTATAATAAACTCACTTGTCTTCTCTCCTATCTTCCGCCCATATTTGGGCTTGTGAAAATTTGTGAAGGAGGAAAGATGACCCATCATTCCTATTATCTTTTCTTTCCTTATATCATCTTTACGGAATTAAGAAAATTTGTTCATTCCTTCTTATTTTCCTTCCAACCCTTTTCCTTTACATCGAGCATAGGGTATAATAATTATCTTTGTAAGTAACAATAGAACTTATGAAAAATCTTAAGTAACAATAGAACTTATGAAAAATCTTACACATAAAGACATGGTGGAGTTGAACAAAGTAATTGATCTTCTTAGTACGGGAAGCATAGATGAACTATCAAATCTTCATGAACCATTCTAATTGATCTTGTTAGTACGGGAAGCATGGATGAAGTATCAAATCTTCATGAGCCATTTAACTCCATCGATAATAATGGTGATGATATATTATTTTTCTTTTGGTATTGTAGGCTATATCCAAGGAAAACATATTATCTCCTTCAAAAAAATCAATTAAAAAGAATAAGGGATGAAACCAAAATCACAAGAATGAAGGAAAGAAAAAGAAGGAAGAGAATGAAACTAAAATCAATGGAAAAACTAAACCCGACTAATAGAACTTTAATACTTTTTTTTTTTGAAAAATTATACTTAATTGAAGACTTTTTATTTTTATTTTTGTATGGTGTCTAAAACCAACTAACACTAATCCATCACAAATCTCTCTTATTTTCTTTCTCAATCATAAGTCCATGTTTGATTATTATCCTTTTATCTTTCTAATTCATAAGTCCAAGATATCCATTTATCAATACATGAAAAGTAAAAACTATAAATAATACCAAGTTTAATACTAGGATTTAAGATTAACACTAAAACCAACTAACACTAATCCATCACAAATCTCTCTTCTTTTCTTTCTGAATCATAAGTCCATGTTTGATTATTATCCTTTTTTCTTTCTAATTCATAAGTCCAAGATATCCATTTATCATTACATGAAAAGTAAAAACTATAAAAAAAAAAAATACCAATTTTAATACTAGGATTTAAGAAAAATGGAACAGTAAAGAAAAATTAGTTTTTTTTTGGCGTGGTCCCTTCTTTTTAATGATTTATTTGTGTATTTTAAGTTCTTAAAATAACTTCAAATTATTAAGTATAATTCTCCAAAAGGGGAAAAAAGAAAGTTCAAAATGCAAAGGGTAGTTAGGGTATAATAAAATAAGAGATGATGCATTAATTAACTTATGAACTTTTTTGTCATTTATTTAAAGACAAAAGAAAAGTGTACTGCAACTGTAGAAAAGTAAAGTGGAAATATCGTCTCCCAATAAAAAATCAAATTTTCTAAAAAAAAATTAAAATTAAAAATAAAAATAAAAAATTTTGAATTATAAATATTAAATAATACTCCCTTTGTCCCAAAATATATGGGTAATTATGAATCACAGTTCCCTAATTATCCATCTATTTTGGGATAAATGGAGTATATATTTAATAGAATATTTAATATACTTACTTATTTAAAAGAGTCCTCTTATTTAGCCCGACAAATAAAAACCTACTATTTCACCAAGTTTATGTGGCTACCTATGTGTTAAATATAATGAGAACCCTTTTAAAATATAAGGTAATTAATTATTTGGAAAGTTGTAATCCTTTTTCTAAGTTTCATCTTAATATAGTATATTTGTTGGGGTTTAAAGTTTCAATCACTATATATGTCAAATTGTATATGTGCTATATATATATATATATATATATATATCACATTACATCTTTCTAAGAACTATTGAGATACTTAAGATTGCACCTCTTATATATAATTAGATTGTGTATCCCTCTTTATATATAAAAGATTGTGTCTTTCATTATTAATATCCATCTATTATTTTGATAGGCGTTCATTGCTATAATGATCAAACTTAATGATCTATATGACTCTCAGAAACAAAAACAAAGATGTATTTTATAAAAACAAATAAGAGTAATAATGATGCCTGTTTAAGTTGGAATTATCTCTGTCAGTTTTAAGTCGAGATATTAAAGTTGTCAACAATATCATTTTTCTATATAAAATTTTCGAATTATGAAATTACATGTCAAATATGTTGTATTTAATAAAACTGTAATGTATCAATACATATATTAAATACGTATTGGATATATGGATAATAAAACACCCCACCAAGCCCCTTGTGTCACAGTGATATCTCCATTATCTTTCAAGGTGGATTGTGAGAATTTGAGTATCCAAAATAGCAAAGTGGGTGTGTAAATAATAGTGAGTGTGAGTTTTTTGCCATTGGCAAAAAAATAATATAATACCCTAGCCAATGAATATTGTTCATTCCCATTATCAAGAGAAATGGGGCTTTTTCATTGGTTGGGTGTATCATGTAGCAGTTACATCCGAGATAAAATGTAAATTATGGTGAACTACATTTCAAATTTAGGTTAATGCAATTTATACTAAAAATCTAATTGATATGTATGTCAAATATAAATTGATAAATTTGTTTTATAATCTCATGTAGAAAAGATCAGAAATGTTGAACGTATTGAGCAAACTTAAGTCACTTATAGGTTTGTAAATCATTTTTCTCTTGGGCCTGGAAGCCCGCCCAATCACAACTGCAAAAAATAGTATCGCGAACAGTATATTCCGTGCCTTCCAAATGCGACGAACCTTCCTGCTCTTTGAGTGCCTCGAACAGCAGCTTCAAAATGCGAAGAACCTTCCTGGTGTTTGAATGAACTACAGGCATCTTCCGAGCCCCCGACACTTTCCTAATCAAGTTCTTTGCAAAATCATCGCCAATCATCATCCTCAACTCTGGACAATCTCTAATTTTCTCAACAATGTAATTGACATTTTTCATCATGAACAAATGTGCATCTTCATAGTGCTTGGACTTGATTTCCAATCTGCCTACTAAAATCTCAATGAGATAAATTAAATGGAGTGCCAATGGACTTTGCCCCTCAAGTTCTATTAATAAGTCCAATGCTGACGGCATAGATACAATTAATGAAGTTAAAGATTGCTTGTAATCAGAGATCCGAGTAATATAGTCCATCACATACCTAGTCAAGCTGTGAATAGTCCCACCTGGAATCGCCGACGACTCATGACACAAATCATTCTCCATTTGCAATAGAACCCCTCTGATTGCCTCCGTGAGCCGAGAAAGTACCTGAACGGCCCTGATTCGGATAGGTGACTCAACAACCTCAATTTCAATAGGTCCTGCTGAATTTGATTGAAAAAGAATGTCCAGCTCAGGCAAAAGTTCAGACAACGCCTCGTGGAGATCTAAAAAATTGAACAGCCTCTCCGGTGGTGATCGGCCACTACTACTTATGACATCCACAAAGTCAAATAACTGAACTAAGCCATCTCTAACTATTTCTGCAAAACAGAAATCAACTACAACAGTAGTTACAAGACCTCCAAAGATTTGCTCGCAGAGTTGCTTCTCTTTGGGAAAGAAAATTCGAACACAAAACTTGGCTGCACGAATCCACTGTCTGATCTTCACCTCCAACACTTGCCACTCCAACTTCCAGACATCTTGAATGATCAATTTCTCGATGCCAAGACGTTGAAAACACACGTCCACTGCACCCTTCCTTACTCTCCTGTAAACCTGAACGCACTGAACAGAGTCCATCCTTCGAGCAATACTCCGGAGATCATTGATTTCTTCTTCAGATGGAACAATATCGTAGTCTAAATAATCCTCTTCAACTAATTCATAGCTAACACTATCTTCACTCATTAAACTAGAACAAGTGGAATACCTTGGATTGCTATGGCCGATCTTGGCCAAGATGTAGCCAAACTCCTCCTCCAGCCAAGCCATGTGTCACGGGCTTAGAGTTTCAGCACCACTCTAGCTGCTCCCGTGCGGCACCAAGATGTTGCTTCCACTCTCGCAAGTACTTGGTTAGCCTAACTCCCGTGCACACCTTAGCCAATACACTCCCCTCGTGCGCTTACTAGTGTTGTAGTTGCCCTCGCCCTCTCCTCACTTGGCTTGCACACTCACACACACTAAGGCACTTAAGTTGGCAAGGAAAGAACACTTCTATTACTTCAAAGAATGCTTTGTACAAGGCTAACACTCAAGCTCTCTACAAGGCTCTCAAGACTCACTCTAGGACTTGTTGCCTACAAAATGAAGTCCTACCTCTATTTATAGGCATCCCCATCCCCAATGGACGGCTAGGATGTATTTTAACCGATGGTGGAGATCGATTCTCTAGAATCTTCTCCCACCTTCTTCACACTTCCATACTTATCCATAAATATCTACAACATTCTAGAATTCTCCATACTACTCCACACAACTCTAGAGAACTCTAGAACCTTCCACACACTTCTACATATTTCTACACATATCTAGAATCTTCCACACAACTCTAGACTACTCCGGAAGACTCTAGAAACTCCACTTGCCATGCAGTTGTCATGCAGCGTCCTCCTCAGCGTCTGCGTGTCGCCTGCGTGGCACAACCTCCATAGGCGGGGCGTGACATTCTCCCCCACCCATTTCCGTGACGCCCTCGTCACGGTTTCTTCAGCTGACCCAGCCTCTCACAGGTCATCAGCACTTGCGTATATGTCATTGGCCCAAACGTACGAGCGCCCTTTGGGAGATGTGAAGTCCTCACGAGCTTCATCGTGTTGACTGCCACCTCTGGACTCTCCTTCCTGCCTACGAGCGGCACCATGCATGCGGCCTTGCCTTCCTCGCCTCCAAGTATCATCAACGCACCCAGGCATGGTAGTGGCGCGGCGTTGTTTCTGTCCATGAACTCCAGCCCCAGCACCATGTCGTGGTCGTCCATCTCCGCAACATGGAAGTCAGCCTTACCCTTCCATCCTTGCATGCATAGCTCCACCACCTTGCACACTCTACTCACGCGTGCTTCCTCGGAGTTAACAGCCTTGATCCAGCCCTCCGTCTTGCGCATCTCCAAGCCAAGTCGTTGTGCCTCCTCCGGAGTAATGAAGTTGTGTGTAGCGCCCGTGTCTACCAACGCTTGCACGGCTTTGCCACCAACCTGCGCATCTACATAGCGCACCCCAGCTACCTTCTTTGCCTTGCCCTTCTTCTTGGTGTCATGCGCTATGCTACTCAGCATCTGCATAGGCCCCATGCACCTATCTTCATCGCTGCCCACATCGTCCACCCTACCCTTGTCCTTATCCTTCACAAAGGCGCTCATGGTCTTCTTGTTGGGGCAGTGTCGCAATATGTGCAGCCCTTCGCACAAGTAGCACTTCGGCTCCCACTTACCCTTATCGCGGCGCTCCCATTTGCCACTAGCCTTAGACCTCTCTCCATGGTCCTTGCCCTTATCATGGCGTGGGCGTCTCTCCTCATCGCTGTGCTCATCATCACTAGACTTGGGCGAGCCCCGTTTCTTGAAGCGCTGGTCTCCCCCACCTTTGCCGTGGTCCCTCTTGGGAGACGTGGCCCTCTTGTCATCACGCCTAAAGTCTTCAAGGCGCTCCGCTATAGCCATTGCGGATGCCAAGTCTCTAGGCTCCCTCCTTCTTAGCTCTGTGGCTACCCAAGACTGCAACCCATCAATAAACAAGCACACGCGTTGCCGCTCTGGCATCTCTGGGATCTCCAGCATTAAGTTGGAGTACTCCTTCACATACTCCCTTATGCTGCCCTTCTGCTTCAGGCGCCTTAGGTTGATCATGGCGAGGTCCTCAACACACTCGGGATAGAACTGCCTCTTGAGCTGCCTCTTGAACTCCTCCCATGTGTCAACTGCTCTTGCGCCTCTACCGGTGAAGCGCTGCCTCCACCATAGAGCGGCAGTGTCCGTGAGGTACATGGTGCCTGTCTGCACCTTCTCCTCATCATCCTCAATCTCCATGCACTCGAAGTACCGCTCCATGTGCCAGAAGAAGTTATCAATCTGGCGCGCATTCCTTGCCCCATCATACTCCTTGGGCTCTGGTGCTTTCTTCTTCCTTGGCTTCACCACGACCTCGCGTGCCTGGGAGAACTCCTTCTTGCACTCGGCAATCTCCACGCGCAAGTCGTCTACCTGATCATACAAGTCCCTTTCCTTCTCTCGCGCCTTGTTGGCAATGCCGTCAATTAGCTCGTAAAGTTCCGCCATCTTTCTCTCGAGCCTGTTAAACTTAGTCTCCGTATAGACCAAGTGTGTGGCAAGCTTCTCCTCCAAGCTCTGTTCCAAGACGTGGACTTGGTGGTCTCCTCCGCTAGCCATGTCTACTCTAACAAAGCTCCCTTGACGAACCTGCTCTAATACTAACTGTCACGGGCTTAGAGTTTCAGCACCACTCTAGCTGCTCCCGTGCGGCACCAAGACGTTGCTTCCACTCTCGCAAGTACTTGGTCAGCCTAACTCCCGTGCACACCTTAGCCAATACACTCCCCTCGTGCGCTTACTAGTGTTGTAGTTGCCCTCGCCCTCTCCTCACTTGGCTTGCACACTCACACACACTAAGGCACTTAAGTTGGCAAGGAAAGAACACTTCTATTACTTCAAAGAATGCTTTGTACAAGGCTAACACTCAAGCTCTCTACAAGGCTCTCAAGACTCACTCTAGGACTTGTTGCCTACAAAATGAAGTCCTACCTCTATTTATAGGCATCCCCATCCCCAATGGACGGCTAGGATGCATTTTAACCGATGGTGGAGATCGATTCTCTAGAATCTTCTTCCACCTTCTTCACACTTCCATACTTATCCATAAATATCTACAACATTCTAGAATTCTCCATACTACTCCACACAACTCTGGAGAACTCTAGAACCTTCCACACACTTCTACATATTTCTACACATATCTAGAATCTTCCACACAACTCTAGACTACTCCGGAAGACTCTAGAAACTCCACTTGCCATACAGTTGTCATGCAGCGTCCTCCTCAGCGTCTGCGTGTCGCCTACGTGGCACAACCTCCATAGGCGAGGCGTGACACATGGCTATCTTGATCACACTTTTGTCATCAGATATGTTCGCCATCCGGCGGTGGATCTCATCAACTGCTTGCAAGTACTGATTTATATCATTGCGGTCTCCTGTGCCAAAGATCATTTGTCTTCTGGCACCACATACATCCCATTGCAAAATGATCTACACGGCAGATTCATAAGCAGCATCAACATTTTCTGGGGTTTCCCATAGTAGGACAAGCTTCAACAAAACTTTTAAATTCTAATTCAGCAACTAGTAAGAACTCAGAGATCAGGGCAATTAATGTATATATTAAAGTTATCATCTCTACATGGTCTTCTCTTATCGTAAGAGACAAGACTTGAAAAAGGGTCGAGGAAGTTTCGGCGAAATCAGTGTCATTTTCCTATTTGCTAGAAAATCTTTAGGTAAGTGAGAGGAAAGAGCATATGGGAAAAAGAAAACTACAGAGCTCCCACTACTCCACCCTCCTCTCTGCCCCACATTTCAGCAAATTGACCCATTCAACAATGGAAGGAAGAATTAAGAGGTCCTTCCTTGCTATAGATAGGAATAGGTACACACTCTATACAATTAACAAAAAAAAAAAATTTAAAGGGTTTGTCTAGTTGTAAAAGACTTGGGTCTAGTTCAGGTGTCAGTTAGGTGCAAACAATTCTCTATATTATTCCTTCTGGATTAAGAGTTATTCGCTATAGTACTCGTAAATAAAAATTACGACTATCGCAATTTTCACTTATCAGCGATCCCATTCAGTATGTCATACAAACTAATAAGTATGGTTTTGAATCCTCCACTTGATGACCGTGACAAGCCACCCTATAGAAACCAGCATTTTACATTTGTTTAGATAGAATGCTCAATTCTACTACTGAATATGAAAAATGTATCTGATTATGTAAAGTGATGATTTATATCTCTTATTCTACTCCCTCAATGCATCCATAATGAGTGCACACTTAAGTCAACTCATGAATTAAGTAATACAAGCATTCACTGCACAATATCAGATTTATTTAAATATTAAGCACTATTCATAAGCTGACTTTGCAAAGCATACAATCCCAACAATACGATCGTTTGGAGCAAATTTTGCATCTTCCATAAGACACGGGTCACACGACCCGTCCTGTTCGAATCTACTATGGGCATCATCCATGTCAGATGAACTTTTCCAATTAGTTTATTTGCAAAATCATCGCCAATAATCATCCTCAATTTTGGACAGTCTCTGATTCTCTGGGCAATGTAATGGACATTGTTCATCATGAACAAATGAGCATCTTCATAGTTCACGGACTTGACATTCAATTTGCATACTAAAATCTCAATTATCCAAATTAAATGGAGTGCCAATTGTAATGTTTGTAAATTAAAAGAAAAAGAAAAAAAGAAAAAAAAAAAGAATTTTTTGTGAGTCCCACCACTAAGCCTTAAGTGGCTAGAGACCATTTTTGGTCTCTCATTCTTTCTCTCTCCCCGTATCTATCTCTCTCTCTCAATTTTTTATTTCATTTTCTTTTCTTTTTCAACCTAATCTTTGAGGCAAGATTTATTCTTCGTTACTTGGCGGATTTAGGTGCCGTTTGAGGCAAAACGAAGCTCACGTTAAGCTCTACGCATCCATACCAGAAATTCCAGCTTTTAGCCTCTCCTTGGAGTTCGAAATTTGTGACCCATTTTTAAGGGTTTTGGTGCAAACTTGAGGTAGGGACACCTTAATCCACTACCTTCTTGTTCCATTGTGAGTTATAATCATTTGTTGTGCCAAGCATGCTTAATTAGAAGTTAATTGTATCAATGATTATTTTAAATGTTGTCTATAGAAATTCATGTATTTGAATGTGAGTTGTTTTATGTGTAAAACATGCTTAAATGTATTTTGATG